TTTTTTGTATTTTTAGTAGAGACAGGGTCCATGTTGTCCAGCCTGGTCTCGAACTCCTGGCCTCATGTGATCAACCCCCGCCATTGGCCTCCCAAAGTGCTGGGGTTACAGGTGTGAGCCACTGCACCCAGTCTAAATTTTTTTTTTTTTTTAATTGAAACAGAATCTCACTCTGTTGCCCAGGCTGGAGTACACTGGCACAATTATAGCTCACTGTAACCACAAACTCCTGGGTTCAAGCAATCCTTCTGCCTCAGCCTCTTGAGTAGTTAGGACTACAGGCACATGCCACCATGTTGAGCTAATTTATTTTTGTAATTTGTTGTAGAGATGGGGTCTTGCTGTGTTTCCCAAGCTGGTATTAAACTCTTGGCCCTAAGCAATCCTCCTACCCTGGCCTCTCAAAACGCTGGGAATACAGGCATGAGCCACTGCGTCAGCCTGGGTTTTTCTGCTTGTTCCCATTTTATTCCCAAATTTTCAGACCATGGGCTTACTACTTCACTGAGCACATTTTGTGGGAGTACACAGCCTGGGCCCAGTTGGTGTTTCCTGATCTCAGTCTTATCAACTTGATCTTGCTTCCCTGTCATTTTTACGTTTTCTCATTAGCTTTCTCCCCATTTCTCCTTTGTCTGCTTCCTTCTTCCTTCTTTAATTAACCCCTTACCTGCAACTGGGTGGACTTGGGTTCTTGACTGGGCTTGTGTGAAAACTGATTGTGAAACAGATAGGTAAGTAGAGAATGAGGAGGATGTTTTACAAGAAAAAAAATGACTAAGATACAGGAACCCAACCTAAAGAGGATAAGACATATAGTTCAAAGGAGGCAGAAAGAAAAAACATAACAGATATTCAAATATATTGATAATCATAATACTTTCTGGAAGAGAAAAAAAAATGCTGAAACATGAGTCCCTTGCTAGAGAAATTACGAAGCCAAGAAAATAGATAGGTCTGAGGATTAGGGAGCTGTTCAGTTGCTAGGAGGGGCACAGAAGTGCAGACCCCAGACTGCAATGGGTATGAAACCCTCTGCGGGCCTTGTGTTGTCCATCCCTTGCCAGAGCTGTTATGTAAAACCCTCTGGAAAATGAATGAAATTATGTTTATATAGTTCTTTCTATATAAGTGCAGAAGAATCATGTTAAATAAATCTACAGGGCAGGATTGTTAGTTTTTCTCCTTCGCAAGCAAACTTCAGTGCTGTCAGATAACCTCTCCATGTGGTTTCTTTTCTCTTAGAATGAGCCCTTCCTGAGGACCCCTCGGAACAGTAACTACACATACCCCACCAAGCCAGCCACTGAGGTAACCCCTGACTCACCTCTGCGTCTCTCAGACACAAACCATTTCCACCTGCCAGGGGCTCGGGTGTGGTGCAGGCTTCAGAGCGTTCACTGAAGCAGAAATGTGCTTCATACGTACTGGGGATTGGAATGTACAGAAAAGGTTCCCCAGCCACGAAGCCCCAGGATTGCCCTAACATGTTCTCAAGTTGCTTACCTGACGTCAGCCCCCAAGCAGAGGAAGTGCCTGTGGATTGATTTTCTTTGACCTTGGCAATCCTGGGCTCACAGACATGGTGACTGCTTAAGCAGCTCAGCCTCTCAAGAGGGAGAGGCTGCGGGTGTGATGTGGCGTTGACTTCTCAGAAGGTGGAAGCTGAGTGGGAGGGAACTGCAATTTCAGGGGTGGGGCCCAAAAGGAAGTGGAGGCATGTTCATGTTCATGTTCATGTTCCTGTGGGCCCCTAGGCCTTGTCTGGTTCAAGTCAGTCATTCTAGTGCTAAGGATTCAGAGCCCATGGTTAATTCCATTGGATGGACCGTGTCTGTGAGCCTAGGACGGCCACCGCAAAGATGGCCTGGAGGACCCTGGACTACACCATGACTGGCAGTCAGGCCTGGTCCAGATCAGGTCTGTTGGTCACCAGGATGGGGTTCGACCAGCAGTTTCGGTTTCACACCTATATTATATCCAGTCTCTTGCTGGGGGCTAGAAGGCATGCAGAGAAGTATCGAACATGGTCCAGACCAGGAGAAGTGAGAGCCCAGTAGAGTTTCACAATTATTGAGCACATACTATGTGCCAGACACTATTCCAGGAAGACAGAAGTGTCAACCAGACAGGTGGATCCCGGCCCTCACGTAACTTACAATCTACAGAGAAAGGCATCTTATATACATGGCTAGGCATGGTCATTTCAGATAGTGATGACAGCTCTGAGGAGGGTGATGGGGCTGGGGCAAGGGAGGCACATTCAGGTGCACCGTGCAGGCCTGGCCTCTCTGAGGGGAGATTTAAACTAAGACGTGCATAATGAAGAGATACTTGCTACACAGAGAGCCAGAAACACAGTCCCAGGCAGAAGGACCATGGACCACACAGGCTTAGAAGTGGGACTGTGTTGGGTGTATTTGGGGAAGAGAGAGGTGGTCAGAGTGACTGGGGGCATGAGAATGAGGTGGAGAGTGGGGGAAATGAGATCAGGAGTGCCAAGGAGCCAGATCACACAAAGCCTGAATTCCTGAGTAAAAACGTTGGATTTCAAGTGAAGAAAGGTGGGAAGCCATTGGCGGTCTCAGGAGAGAGTGGCATGATCTGGTTCATGTCTTTCAAAGATCTCCCTGACTGTATCTGTAGAATGGATTGGGCATCCGCAGGAGTGATTGGGGAAAGACATTTTATAAGCCAGCTGAAGAAACTAACCCATATGAAATGGTTAAGAACTGTTGGATGCTAAGCTCTGCGGTACAAGCAATACCAGATTGCTGGCTGCAGGTTATGCTGTGTCCAGCCTCTCTGAATTTTCTCAGGCTCACGTTAGCCTAGTGGAGGCTTGTCCTCATTGAACCAGTGACCAAATTCCATGAGAATTGAAATGTCAGCTGCATCTTGTGAATCAGGCATTTCTTCATTGATTCAACATTTACCTGTTGGATGCCTACGTGGAGTGGGCACTATGCTAAATGCTGGGTAGACAATGGTGAGCTGAATGGGTCTGGATCTGCCCTCTTGGTTCTTCAGTCTCATGTGTCTTTGCTTTTGCTGCTGGAAAAGCTAAAAATCCCAGAGCCAGAAGGGCGTGTGTTAACAGCTTTCTACTCAAAGCAGCCACAGAAACAAAATTCTGTCATCTGAGGTAACATGGGTGAGCCTAGAGGATATAACGTTCAGTGAAATAAGTCAGGCACAGAAAGACAAATACTACATGTCCTCACCATATGCGGAAGCTAAAGAAGTTGACTTCACAGAAGTAGAGTATAAATAGCGGTTATTAGAGGCTGGGAAGGGTGGATGGTGGTTGCAGAGTAGGGACAGCAGAAATTGATTAACAGAAAATTATAGCTAGATAGGAAGGATAATTTCTAGTGTTCTATGGCACAGTAGGGTGACTATAGTTAACAGTTTACCATATATTTTCAAATAGCTAGAACAGCAGATTTTGAATGTTCCCAATACAAAGAAACGATAAATATTTGAAGTGAGGGATATGCTAATAACCCTGATTTGATCACTGCACATTGTAGAGATGTATCAAAATATACTATGCCTCATAAATATGTACACTTATATGTCAATTAAAAATAATAAAAGGCCGGGCGCGGTGGCTCAAGCCTGTAATCCCAGCACTTTGGGAGGCCGAGACGGGCGGATCACGAGGTCAGGAGATCGAGACCATCCTGGCTAACACGGTGAAACCCCGTCTCTACTAAAAAATACAAAAAAACTAGCCGGGCGAGGTGGCGGGCGCCTGTAGTCCCAGCTACTCAGGAGGCTGAGGCAGGAGAATGGCGTAAACCCGGGAGGCGGAGCTTGCAGTGAGCTGAGATCCGGCCACTGCACTCCAGCCTGGGCGACAGAGCGAGACTCCGTTTCAAAAAAATAAAACAAAATAAAATAAAAATAATAAAAGCAAAACTGATAAAGTAGGCACAAAGAGGCTTTACCCGGGAGCTTGTTAGAAATGCAGAGTCCTGCGTACCACCCCAGACCTGCTGAATCAGAATCTGCAGCTTAAGATCTTCAGGGGATTTGGATGCACTGATTTTGGATGTAGTGCATGGTTCTTCCCTTGTGACAGACGAGCACATTTAAATTCCAGCCAGGGTCTGTTCATCTACACAGAATACGCTTGTCTCTGATTCACCAGCTATCTGAGCTATATCTCATGTGTTGATGGCTGAATAACTTTTTACGTTGCATTTTCTCTGAGTATTTGTCATCTGCACACAAGCATGTTCTTGATTTCATTAAACCTTTCAACAGAAGAAATCCATCAGTATGATGAATTGAGCAGTCCCTTAGAAAAAACTAAATTCCACTGGACTAAGCAAATAATATTTAAAAGTTACATTTTTGCTCCCTCATGATAGGAATGTTTCAACAAGGCTTGTCTTCATCATCTGATTGAAGAGATGGATAAACTTTCATAGTGTCTGGCAGTCAGACTCCTGTACAATCAGTCAACCTGGTCAAGCCCTACTCTGCACTCAGCATGCATATATTTGGGACTTTGGGAAGATATTCAATTTGCCCCCAGATTTTTGGTACTAATCATTTCTGTGCCCTCTGCTTCCCTTCCCACTCCTTCCCCCAGCACCTGGAAAATATGCTCTGTGTTAAAGAAAATTTACTAAAAGCATCCAGGGTTGCTTGCATTAATTAACAAACATATAAGGAATAAGGCTGTTAAGTTAAATATGCAAAAAGACATACAGGTATCCAGAAAAGATAGGCAGAAAGTAGGAGCCTTACAATTGTAAAATATTTTGTGTTACTATTCTAAAAATCTTTTAATTATTGTTTAGGTTCTAGCATTATAATTAGTGTCAATTAGCTTAATTTTATAAAACACACATACCTGTAATCTCATGTTAGGCATCCAAATGCTGTGTTCCTTTGGGAGACTCACCTGTATATGACTTCATGGTTTTCTTCCCTGCTTTGGGGCAGCCACTGGCTCCATTCAAAGCGTAGACATATTGGCATATGAAAGGTTGTGTGTGGGTGCACATGTGGGGACATGCACTATGGGTTGTGCATAGGGGTAGCCAGACACACCCATTTCTTCCCCTAATTTCCCTCCTAGCCCATCTATAGCTCACAGTTCTTTCCCTTACATGATCCTGTATGGTGACTCGTTTCTAGCCTGCATCAAAAATCCCTTAGCTGGTTCTTCTTGGGCTGAAGTTTATCTCCCTGCACAATGAGTGTTGGGCACTGAATCTTCTCTCCTGTTGATTTAGAACTGGGGCAGTGACTTCGTGTGTACAGAGTGGAAGGCTTCCAATAGTGTTCCAACCTCTGGTGAGTGAAAATATCATCATCCCCTTCAATTAAGGGCCTTGCCAAATACCAGGTTGGGGAAGACCTTACAAATATACCCTGGAGCTTTAAGCAGGACTTGCTAATTCCCATGCAGTGCAGACCTAGATCCCACCCTGCAGCCACAGCTGGGCTTCCAGTTGGAGGTGCACAGACCTCTCCACTGAATGCTGCTACTTGTCTCCTTATAGTCCCAGTGGCAGTCCCTTAGGCCTCCCTGCCCAGTGAGGCAGATAGAGTCAGGGATTGGGGTTCAACCTGCCTGTGCTACATGACCCCACAGCTGGAACTTTCCTGGACCACCCCAGTGTGAATCAGGCTCTTCTGAGGACGGACAACAGCCATGAAGCCCACTCCCTTCAGTGCCTTGGTTGCTCTGAATGAATGGAAGGGGCAAAACTGCTAAAGCCTTAAGCTGAAAATAAGTACAATGGGGAGCAGTGGGACAGAGTTATAGACTTCTGGTAAAATGTGTACTTTAAAAGGTAGACACCCCCAGCCCCCACAACCACCTCTCTGCTTGTCTCCCCTAGTCCACCAGCTCCAACCAGCAGACATCAAAGTGGTGGCCGCCCTGGGTGACTCTCTGACTGTGAGTAGTGAGCCGTGAACCAGGATGGGCAGCTCAGAGTCCAGCCAGGCCTCGTGCAAAATCTGTTCTTCCCCAGCATTGGCTCCACATTCAGTGCTGAGCCCGTTACTGAGGGCGTACCTGTGTCAGACACTGAAACACAGCCAGGCGATATAGAATGCCCTGTCTCGCCACCTTCCCAGTTCTGCTCAAAGCCCCCTCCTCCACGAGGCCTCCTCTCAATTCCCAGGGAGAAGCAATCCCAGCCTTCCCCGCTGTTCGCAGGCACAGGCGTTTTGTTGGTATGTGATGGCACTCATCCAAGTCGGCCTGCCTTTATCAAGGGACCCACCTCCATCTACCCAGACTCAGAGTGGCAGATCTTACACACACACACACACTGCCCCATGCTCCCTACTCCATTTAAGGACATGTGCTTTGGGGCAGAGGGAGCCCAGTTCCTCGCACATAGCACAGTCTTGCTAAGTGAATTGTGCTCCCTGATTACTTAGCCATTACTGTGTACAACAATACTCTATTAGCAATTCTAAGGGAGATAAGGTATGAAACACAGTCATATCCCCCCAGCAACCTGTCTGGCTAGAAAAACAAGAACCATACACGGAAAGAAATGCATAATCACGTAGATGACATATAGGACTTGGATGTTTTTATTTTTTAAGTTCAGGGGTCCATGTGCGGGTTTGTTACATGGTAAACTTGTGGCATGGGGTTTGCTGCAAAGATTATTTCATCACCCAGGTATTAAGCCTAGTACCCCTGAGTTATTTTTCCTGATCCTCTCCCTCCTCCCATCCTCCACTGTCTGATAGGCCCCGGCGTGCGTTGTTCCCCTCCACAGGGGACTTTTAAAATAGGGTATTTATTTCGGTAGAAACAAACACCAGCCCCACATGTGTGGCGGTGTTTCCATTTTGGCGTGAACGTGGAAAAAGATGTGGAAAGGCACATACGAGTCTGTTTACCACTAATGAGCTCTGGTGGTATTTGCATGTGGGTAAGGGGTGAGGAGGGAGTGTGGAATCTGTGGCAAGAGGCAGGATTCTTAAGGTAGGGGTAGATCATTCATTTGTTTAAATCTTTGTATCATTTAACATATGTTACTTTTGTAAATTTCAAGGTTTTTTTTTTTTTTTTTTAAGGCAGAGCATTTAGAGAAAGCTTTATAGAGGAGATAGGAACTGATGAGGGTCTCAGAGAATGAATTTGGAAATGTAAGGTGCTGGAAAGGAGGGAGTTCAGCATTCCAGGAGGGGATGGGAGTGGGTGGTAATGGGGTAGACCAGCTCAGGGCCCTCAGGCTTCCAAAATTATGTCAGGTAATTAGTTTAGGCCTGAAGGTTTGTGTGAACTGGGAAGGAGGGAGCAAACAAGGGGAAGGAAAGTAGAAACCAGATTATGGTGACCTCAGAAGATTGGTGAAGGGATTTGGCTTTGATCTTGAAGGTAAGGGAGACTCATTGAAGGGTCAGGACTGGGGTTGGGGAACATGAAGAAAGAGGCATGTTCAGGAGGAACAGAAACTGGAGTCAGTTTGCTCAGGCAGGAGGCCAGGGTGTTGCCCGTGGCAAGGAGGTGAGAGTCTCAATTAGGAACATGGCAAAGGGAACAAAAAGAAAGGGGCAGGTGCTAGGGAGGGTGGGAAGACGGAACCAACAGGACTCAGTTACTGGTTGTAGGTAGAGTACTGGGGAGAAGAATGTATCAAGACCACTCCAAGTTTAAGGTGGCCTGGAGAAAAGCCGGTACTATTTTTAGAAAAGGCAAATCCAGGTCCCAGCTGCTACTCCAGGGCCAGAGGAGGCTCTTCCAGTGCCCTCAGCCCAGCCCTGAAATTTCTTTTTGCTTTTCATAGACAGCAGTGGGAGCTCGACCAAACAACTCCAGTGACCTACCCACATCTTGGAGGGGTCTTTCTTGGAGGTGAGAATGTTCTTGACACATGCTCTATTGATGATGCTCACTCAAAGAGGCATGAGTAGTGTGTTTCCCCTGTCACCCCTCCAGGATGCAGTTGGGTCCCCAGGGCCCAGCGCGAGACAGGAGAGTCGGTGGTGCTTGCATTACCCCTGAGGGTGATGGGAGAGATGCCCCAGGGGCAGAATCTCTGGTTCTGGTTCTGACTTATGCATATGTTGACACACAGAGCAGCATGTTGGCGTGATTTTAATAAATATGCTTTCTCCTCCTCAGCATCGGAGGGGATGGGAACTTGGAGACTCACACCACACTGCCCAGTAAGTAGCAGCCTGGAGAGGCACCATCACTGTGGCCATCCTCCCTGGGGCCAGGGCCTTCCTGCTAGAGGAGGGGAAGAGGAGGTCATCTGCAATGAGGGAAGTCAGCCAGCCCTGAAAATCCCCAGAACTCCTGTGTCCCACCCGTGTGTCCCCACCCTGCATGCTCATCTCAGTTACTGTGAGGGTCCTGCAGGCTCTCACCTGTGCTCTCCTCCTCCTCCTCTAAAGACATTCTGAAGAAGTTCAACCCTTACCTTCTTGGCTTCTCTACCGGCACCTTGGAGGGGACAGCAGGACTAAATGTGGCAGCGGAAGGGGCCAGAGCTAGGTGAGTAGATGCCATACAGGAGGGCGAGTGGAAGGCAAGGCTGAGACATCAGGGTGGGAAACCGGAGGAGAGGAGAGGAGGGTGGTATCCAGGAGCCTGGTCCCGGGGGCAGTAGCAGCTGTGCAGGACTTTCCACGTGAATTATCTCCTGAGATCCTCACACCCTTGGACAGGGGCACTGAGGCTTATAAGCTCTCCAGAACCACCAAGATTATCCGGCAAGTTATCAGAGGAGGCAGGATCAGACCATGCCTGAATCAGGAGCCTTTGCTCTGACAGCTGTGCTATTACCACCTCTCCAGGGCAGCAGGAGGTGCACATCTACCCTGCACTCCTGCGCTGTCCCTGCTGGCTCCAGCTCCACCTCCTGCCCAGCAGGTCACACATGCAGGGTGGCTCTCAGCATCTGGAGAACTGAGTGCATGACCCCGGTGATAGCTGCCCTTTCTCTCTCCCCACCTCTCTTCAGTCTTTGGCTCTGAAAAAGCTATATTCTGACACTAGGGAGTTAGGCGTCAGGGCCCCCAAAACAGCATGGTGGCTGTTTGTTTTCACTGGGATTGTTGTTGACAACAACTCAGATAATTAAAGCTGAAATGCCTGACCAGGCTCACTGATTTTCTGCATGGAGCGTGCTGGGTGTATGCTTTGTAGAAGGATCACTATGCTCTGATCACCAGGGAAACGACACTGGCTTGACTCACTCTGTTTACCGGGAATGTTCCTTTCAAAAGTGGTAACGTGGGCCCCATGCTCTGTTTGAGTCTCTAAGCCACAGGAAGCGATGTCAGTTCCTCAACGTCACGAGCAGGAAGAACTTATTTTTCTGCAAAAACTGGGCTTTGTGGGGTCATTATAGCAACATCTAATTACTGTTATTATGATTGCTATCATTGTTATCATCATTCTATTGTTCTTCTACAGTACAGGCTTCATTTTCCAGGGGTTGATTTCTCACTCTGTTGACAATTAAACCCCTTCTTCCTTCCTCACTTCACTTCTCTTACTGCCTTTTCTCTTTGACTGCTGCTCAGCACCTCTGCCAGATGAAGTCAGTGGCCAGGGAAGTAGTTGAGACATGTGGTTTCTTGTGGGTATCTCTGATGTCTGATGTTAGGGGAAAGGAAAGTAATCCTTTGACTTAAGAAAGGAAGGTTGGATAATTGCTCTATAACTTTCCTTTATCTCTATTCTGTTGTTTATTAGCATAGATACAGATGAGTTCACCCAAAGAGAAACAAACGTGCCACAGCAGAGTACCTAATATCATAGGGTGTGGGGTCAGGTAATTTGTGTCTACATTCCAGCTCCAAGACTTGCTAGCTGTGTGACTTTGGGCAAGTTGCCTAGCATCTCTGAGTCTTAGTTTCTTCAGCAATAAATAGGGATAATAATAGTATTTATCAGCATTGTCATAAGCATTAAATAAGACATATAATCCATGAAAAGAATGTAGTACAGTATGTAATACCCACCAAAAAAGTAGCACAGTACAAATGTACCAAAAGTTTGCCATTTAATGACCTTTAGTTTCAAAGTTTTTTTAACCTAACTTTCCTTCCATCAATCAATAATAATTCATTCAACACCTGCAAAGGACTCAACCCCAAGGTGGTTACTCAAAGATACAAAGGGCCAGGCATGGTGGCTCACACCTGTAATCCCAGCACATTGGGAGGCTGAGGTGGGTGGATCACCTGAAGTCAGGAGTTCAAGACCAGCTTAGCCAACATAGTGAAAACCTGTCTCTACTAAAATCAAAAATTAGCTGGGTTTGATGGTACACACCTGTAATCCCAGCTACACAGGAGGCTAAGGCAGGAGAATCACTTGAACCCAGGAAGTGGAGGCTGCAGTGAGCCAAGATCGTGCCATTGCACTCCAGCCTGGATGACAAGAATGAATCTCCATCTCCAAAAATAAATAAAAGATACAAAGGAAACAAAAGATGAACTCCCTGCCCATGAAGAGCTTGCACTCTAGGTAAGGAGACTAAACAAATGGGAAGTAAGTTTCCGCAAAAGAAAATGCTGGGTATGGCAGCAATATAGTGCTTCGTCATGGAGTGCAATTAAGAGAACAGGAGAGCACACAGTGTGAAATGCACTGTCTAAAGACAGATGCAGACCCAGAAGGGACCCCTGAAATCATCCAGTCCAACTTCTTCCTTTAGAAGATGGAAAAAGTCAATTCTAGCAAGATTCTGCCACTTGTACAAGCTCACCCAGCAAGTCAGTAGCAGAGCTGAAAGTAGAACCACTGGTCGCTGGGGTGAAAAAGGAAATGCAGGATGTGTGGATCAGTGAGCCCAGAGAGGAGGCTCAAGGGGAAGCAGGACTTGGTCTGGGCCTGAAGGATGGGAAGAAGATGGCTAGGAAGAGGGGAAGAAGCAGTGTTTGTAACTTCCCCTCCTACCCAGGAGGGCTTATTGCCCATGGATTGTCTTAGTCACATCTTGAACCTATTAAAAGGTTAATGGCACTTCTGTGGTCACCTTTGACCAGGAAAGTCTGTCTTTATAGCTAGCTTTCTGATGTACTCATCAATAGCAATAACGTATGGGATACAATCCTAGATCTGTAAATTCTCCTTAATGAGAAACAAGGTAGGGATGGTGCCACGTACCTAGCTTACTGGGGACACCCAAAGATTTTCAGTGGCCAACTCACACCAGTTACTGCTTTTATGGCTTCTTCCGTGGAAGCTTTCATTGGCTGTATCCCCTTTGCTGACCTAACTTCTCATAGACATTTCTTTAAACACAGATTTATTGAGGTATAAATGACATGCAATAAACATCACATGTTAAAAGGATACAATTTGGCTGGGTGCAGTGGCTCATGCCTCTAATCCCAGCACTTTGGGAGGCCGAGGTAGGCGGATTGCCCAGGAGTTGGAGACCAGTCTGAGCAACATCCTGAAACCCCATCTCTACCAAAAATACAAAAAATTAGCCAGGCATGGTGGTATGGGCCTGCAGTCCCAGCTACTCAGGAGGCTGAGATGGGAGGATCACTTGAGCTCCAGGGGGTTGAGGCTGCAGTGAGCCATGATCACACCACTACACTCCAGCCTGGGCAACAGAGCAAGACCCTGTCTCAAAAAGGATACAATTTAACATTGTACCTGTGAAGTCATCACCACGATCAAGATGAAAAACGTGTCCATCACCTACGGGATGTTTTCTCAGGCCCCTTGGTAATCTCTCCCTCCTGCTCCTTCCTGTCCCTACCCCCACACCCCAGGCAACCACTAACCTTCTTTCCATCACTATAGATTAGTTTGCATTTTAAAAAATTTTATATAAATGGGATCAAAGAGGATATACTTTTTATCTGACTTATTTAGCAAAATGATTTTGCGATGCATCCATGTTACTGGTATACCAATAGTTCATCCCTTTTTATGGCTGAGTAGTGTTCCACTGGCACTCATGTCACTCATCCGGAACACCAAATGGTGTTGATTTATTTATGGCAGACATCAGGGGATGGAGGGAGAACTAATCCTGTCCATCCTGTTTTATTGGAGAGGGGGGGGAAAAAAAGCAAGGAGATGGGGAATGGTGCAGAAATCTAAGTAACCACAGAGAAGAAAAACAAAAGGATTAAAGGAGCAGAGAGCAGGGCTTAGAAGTAAAGGTTAAAGGAGTCATTAAGCCTGGAAAGGAGAAAACTGAGGGATAATTGAGCGCTGTGACTTTTCTCAAATATACAAAAGGTTATTTTTAAAACAGGCAACTGAAGAAGAAATGAACAGGCTTGGCTTTCAAAGAAGGAGCTTGAGGAAAAGTCTCTGAGGGGAAGATTGACAGGATCCCAACCCGAGTGGCCGATGACACTATTGGGTGGCAGGGGCTAGATCAGTGTGGCTCCAGGGTCCATGGCATCTCTGTGATTGTTACGCAGCTGAGATTTCTTGAGAATGGAATGAATTGTGTACTGGTAACATCACCGTTCCTGAAACACCTCTCTTCCTAGGCCAAAATCCCACATCTTGAGTCCTCGCTCCTGAACCAGCACTAACGCCGCTCTCTCTTCCTCCTACCTAGGGACATGCCAGCCCAGGCTTGGGACCTGGTAGAGCGAATGAAAAACAGCCCCGTGAGTATAGGCCCCAGGCCACCCCTGAAAGGTGCCCATCTCCTGCTGACTGGGGAGGGGACAGCCCCATAGGGTCCCTCTCACCACAGCACTTCCTGCTCTGGGCTGGCCTCTGTAGAGGGCCAAAAGATCCCTGGAGAAGCAGGCCTTACCAAGGAGGCGCCTGCTTTGGCCACACCCCTGGATGTAGGCTCTGGCACCCCCCACCCCAGGGCCAGCTGCAGGAGAGCGAAGTGGAACAGGGAGGTGGCTGAGGTGGTGGCCTTGGCCTCTGACAGCTTCCTACTTTAACCAAGAGGTGGCTTCCCAGAGTCCTATTATGTAAATGCAAGGTTCTAAAAATAGGCTTCTCATTTCAATCCCGTTCTCCCTCCTTCCCCTCACCCTGCCCCTCTGAAACTTCTCACTAGCACTTTTTTTTTTTTTTTTTTAAATAACTGTTCAGTGTTTATACCTAGGAATTCAGCTCCCAGTGGGATTCCTATTATGGAGGTGGCCAAGTGGAAAGCCAACTGCTTAGAGGGCCTCCCAACCCCAACCCCAGCCCCACTTCTCAGT